AAAGGTGTAGTATTTGTGGTAAAAATTCTCTTGTTAGTGAAAATGAAAATATCGCCTAAAAATTGGCAAAAAAAAAATTGAAAGTTACCTAAACTTTTCAAAGGAAACGCCTTAAACGTTCACACATACCTTTATTTTGAAAATAGAAAAAATCATCAACGCCGACTCCTTATTATAGAACATGAAAGTTTAGTTCTTTTACTTTTTTGTCTTTTTAGGATAACGCATAGGTTGGGCATAAAGGATTCGGTGACGACTGAATATTATTGTCTTACTTGTGTCTATAATACTTCTTGTAATTGTTTTTAAAAACAACGTTCATTACAGTGTTACGAAATATTTCGAACTTTTTTTCGCTATCGTCTTTCGGCTTTCAAAATGTGTGCAAGCGTTTATTATTTCTTTTTTTTTTTGTTTGTAAAAAATTTAGGTCAAGTGCTTTTTAAAACTTTTGTTGGTAAGGTATTGCAACAGATGCTTCGACATTGCAGTTTTTTTTTCATAAATAATCAAAAGATAGAATCCCTCTTAAGTGATTATATAACAAAGTAGGGGAACTTTTCAAGTTTGGAAAAAAAAAAAAATTATTTAATTTATTACATTAAAGATGAAGATATAGCGAGTACAATATTCAGAAATGCGCCCCAGAAGCTCCACAAAGTTTTATAAGGTAGTCTTCCGATTCCGCTCTCTTACCAACTACTAATAAAATTCTACTCACGCATCGGGACATTAAATAAATTATTATTAATTTCCGAAATTAAGCGATAACTAGAAAATAAAAGTATGAATTTGTCATCTGAATGCGCTATCCTTATGCTTTATATCTTAGGCTAAACTGTCCCGGAAACTGTACAGTAGATAATTTTCAGGGTATTTAAAGTGGGCGAATTGTATGCCAAAGAAACATTACTTTTCTTACTCAATTCAAAAGCGCCCAATCAACAGGTGCATGACGTACAGCAGATTCGGAGCCAAACACATGCTACGATGACGCATTTGCAATTAGCAGTCGATTTTTCCGTCTTAATACAAACACTATACGATCGCCCATAGAAAATTGCTCTTATTTCATTATTCGGCAGAATCGACAATTGAAAGGAACGACAGACAGACATTTTTCATTAATGGTATTATTAAAAACTATTATACGATATACACGAATAACGGCATGCCGGTCATCATGCGGTAATGTATAGAAAAGCTCGCTCTATGGATGGCCTATGGTTCGCACTAGGCGAACAATTAAATTGATCATAAACCTAAATATCTTTGGCGATCCAACCCAAAACATTATTCTGGTTTAGTCCAAGCAAATGAAACGATGACCGAGGAACGCTACAAACTAACGCAATTAAAACTAAAAACGGGCGAAAAGGTTTGATGAAATTCGGCCCCATATAGTAAAATTCACTTACAAAACGTTAGTAGTTTACTGCTTCCAATTAATACTGTTTGTGATCACTGATTTATTCCTTCTCTAAACAGGGGTTCATTTTTAACACAATAACCATAAAACGAATTTCTTTCGTAAATGGGCTCAAAAAACCAGTAGGTATTCTGCACCTAATTCATATTCTGTTCTGTTATTCCATACATCGAAAAAGGAAAGCAATCTTTAATGTGATTCATTCTTTTGCATTGGTGTACTTACAAGAGTTCGTTTTTTGAATATGACTGCTTACGACGGAGTCGTCACGAGATTTACACGTGGTAACGTAAAACACAATGGAAACATTACTTTCTAGGAAGCGTCCTTCTGACAGGTAAACCATGATCATTACATTTCTTATAAAATTAAAGTTATATTTATTATGAACAGGCTTTAATCTGTACAGATAGTCGTCAACGGTTATGAAAGCTGCTGACTGATCAAGAGCTTTAAACGTTGTCTAATAACTTAGGGAATTAAAATAAAAGGTTAGCCCATTAAGAACATTTATTGATAGAAATTTCCGCAACACAATGAAATGAAAGAAATCATTATTTGTTAGACTAAATAAATACATTTTTTTTTTTTTTTTTTTTTAGAAAGAATCCGCCTGTGTAGCCGAAGGCGAAGAATCTCGACTAGAAAGTCAATGGTCGTGGGTTCGAATCTCAAGTGCGGTAGAGTTTTTAATAAAAGCCGATAGCCTTAGATGCTAGTGCTTTTAAGAGTTTAGTTTTAGAATTTACTTCTCTGGCGAAATTAATAATAATAATAATAATAATAAATTTTTAGACTTCAAGAATTGAGTACTAGCAAGACTGGCTAAAAGAATCTGCTTTAAAAAGTCATATTAGATATTGCGCCTAGTACATTTAATAAAGCAACATAACTTAAATTAAATTAAAGTACATACAGTTACCTTTTGAAAAACAAGTACTATTTACCCTTGACTTTAAAAATCTTTAAAGTAGCAGTAAAACAATAGAAATACCGTTACCTAGGTATTTTCCGCGATTATTTATTTATAGTACAGTATAAGGTTTGCAAGCCCTTCAAGGACCAATTTAAGTGTATGGTAGTGAAGAATAGTGTAAACAATAAGAATGAAAAAGTATCAGTCAAATTCATAAATTAAAATTAAAGTACAGATTATTACACCAGTTTTATAAACAAAATTACTTAGCAGATAAAATTATATGTGCAACCAAAATATAATTTAGTAAAAGCTTAATTTCAAAGTGAAAAAGTTAATCTTGTGCGTATATTGTTCTCATTCTTCTTCTTCTGCGAATCAGCAAATCAACAACAAAGGATAATCACGCAAAAACGACCGTTGACAAAAGCGAAAATTAACTTCCAATTACATCATTACGCGATAGCTGGTTTGCTGAGTTGAGGAAAAATTATGTATATTATCTTTATAAATTTTTCAACATACGTTCATATTTCATAAAAACGTATGGAAGTGTCGAAGAAGATTTAAAGCGTTTTCGGAAGATTGTTTTATATCCGCAGGCATCGACTTTCTTGTAATTAAACAACTTTGCAATGAAAGAATTATGAACTTTGGCAGCTCTACTCTGTGATTCAGCAAACATATGTAAATGTGCGAAAATGAATTTCTTGCAAAATTCAGTATTTTTTTTTACTGAAAAATAATAAAGGCCTTAAACGGAATAGACAAAATTCTAAAGAAAATTCGTAAAACATCACAAATTGGTGCAAATGAATGTCGCTTCTTACCGACAGTCGGTAAACGAAACGCTACATGCTTTCGTTTTACAAATAGAACAATTTTTGGAAGTTTTCTGGAAGACGATAAAACAAATACATCAAGAATTATCGCAATCCACCAGCTGGGAGAGTCCCATTGAGTTTACAGATTTACAAAGAACTTTATTTAAAGTTTTATTTATATTATTATTATTCACTGGAGCCTTAATTGCGTATTCGTGGCAAGTTTATGGTAAAGTGATAACTGAAAAATTTGTAAGACCAAGTAAGTTAAAAATTAGAAGAATTTGCGAACTTAACAGTTATATTTGCTATCTGAACTTCGTAGGTACCTTAAAAGAGATTGAAGAGTTGAAACTGTCGGTAGCCAAGTTGAAATTACCTAAAGAACATTCACCTAGAATCTAAATTTCAAAGTTTTTTTTGTCTATATTATGTCAAAAATTAAGAAATTTTTTACTCGGAAAAAGGAAGAAGCTGCATTTAAATTAAAAATAGGTGGAACTTTAGGTCAAGGTCATGCCCTTAACGCTCCTTCGGAGCCTTCGGGTTCTCAACGTAAATCTAATCATAAGGCATACGAGCCGCCCAAACGTAAAGAACTAAGCAATGAAGCGCGAGCAGCCGCGGCCGCTGCTTTAGCACGTATTGAAACCAAGGATACAAGGGAGTTTAATACATCGCTAGCAGCCATTAAGGCTCAAGCTAAAAGAGAATTGGAAGCAGAAAGAAAAGTAAGGGAAGATAGAAAGGCCGACGAAAACACGTCAGAAACTGAAACGCGCCCGGACGTAACTTTAGCTTGTCAAGGCGTGTTCTTTCGTTGTCCCATGATAAGTGACGAAGTATTACCTAAAAAGGATTGGAAAGTGAAAATTAAAGAATTTCTCTATCAACAATTGGAAAGCGAAAGAGCGTTAACATCTTGTCTGATTATTCAAAATTGCAATACTAAGGAAAAGGTGATTTATATATTTTACGGTCGCTGCCAAGCAGTTAAGAATAAGAAACACAACGCTTTTGTCATTGCAGGCTGAAGAATGCGTTAAAACACTAATAAAATATTTGGAAAATATAATTAATCATCCGGAAGAAGAAAAATATCTTAAAATACGTATGTCTAATCGGTAAGCCTCGTATAGAAAAAAAGTAAAAATATGTTATTAATCTTGTTTAGTGACACACAGTGGAGTTTTAAAGGTCTATTAGTAAATTTATTCCCAAAACAACTAATTATTGTTCTTTAGGATTTTTAGCGAAAAGGTTCGTTATGTAGAAGGAGCTTTAGACTTTTTAATAGCAGCCGGTTTTCATGAAATTGAAATTGATAATGAAAGCTTTCTTATTTGGTCAAAGGATAATATTGAAGAGGGTCAAGATTTGCCGACATTGTTAGACGCTTTAAAGAATGCTGGGCCTATAACTTTAGAGTTGGAACGTAACATTAAAGTGCTATTGCCTTCACAAGCCAAACGCGTTAAATTGCCGGATGACTTTTACCGCATGTCGCCCGAGGAGATTAAGAGAGAACAACAAATGCGAACTGAAGCTTTAGAGAACGCCCAAGTCCTAAAAACGAAGGCTATGCGAGAACGAGAGGAACAACGTGTTCTCCGTATGTATCGTTATGCTTTAGTACGTGTAAAATTCCCAAACGGCATTTATATCCAAGTAAGTCGCATAAGTTGAAAATGAATTGTAATAAAATTGTGCATCTTCCGTTAGGGTACTTTCAATGTTTATGAAAAAATTAGTGATATCTTCGAAATGGTTCAGTCTTGTCTCAGCGACGAGACGCTAGAATTTAATTTGATTTCCTCAAGTGATGGTAGACTTTCTGATGACGATATGGAGAAATCCTTGTACGATTTAAGGTGAGTTTGTTTAGCAGCTTGTTTTTTTAAGCGCAATTACATATTATTTTGGTTTTCAATTTTAGACTCATTCCAAATGTTGTTTTGCTGTTTTCAATACCTGATCAAGTTAACACCAACTATATTGACACTAATTTTCTTAAGGAGGAATTGTTGCTATTGGTGCAGTCATTGTAAATTTTAAAGTTTGAACGACCACTGAAACAGGATTCTATATATTGAAAAATTTATTTATATATGTATTTTTGTTTTGCTTTCATTTGCATTCTTTTGCATTTGGTTTTATTTCACCCTTATTTCTTTCGAATAAAATCTAAAGCGTAAATTGTTACCAGACTTCTATTGTATATTTATGAATTTATTCTTTAAACAATAATCCGTTCGTGTAATGAATAATTCGAAAATAATCTTTAAGTAACTGCGTTTTTAGTTAGAACACATGTTTTTATAAACTGGAGATGGGCATTTTCTCGAATTATATTATTACGGGTGACGTTGAATTTAGTGTATGGACAAATCCATCAAGCCGTTCAACGCTACCAGGTTCCGCCCACAGAAGTGACACAATGGAGCCAAAGTTCACTAATATAAAATTCAAATAAAATAAGTTATGAATTTATTTATAAATTAAAAGTCCGTTTATTTCGTTAAAAGTTTGTTTGAAGATGAATGGATTTAATTAGAAAGGTGCCAATGCAAAGTATCAAATCCTCGAAATAGTCGACAAAATGGAGAGCATGTTGTACTGCCACAGTTGTCGCACGAATTGTGGAATTGTGGAAATGCCTTCCGGAACAGGAAAAACTGCTACTTTGCTCTCGTTATGGCTGCGACTTCATCAAAAGTATGAAATCTATCACGTTTATATATTCTATTAAAAAGAAAAGCTTGTAAAATGGAGTCCGGTATTTGTTATATAAAATCTGAGTACGTGAAGTTAAGAAAAACGTTTGGATTACCCCCCCTAGTCTTCATTGTTTGTTGTTTGAAAATTTTGTTAGATATTTAATAGCGGACGCGGATAAGCAACCCAAATTAGTAGGAACGTAGGAATCTAATAAAAGAGGATTGGTATGTGAAACTGCTAGCGACTTAATTAAAGGCGGAGAACAAACAGGAAAACAAAATAAACGATGTAAAAGCGATAAGAAAGAAAGAAAACGAGGCCAAAATAAGGTATGATTCGCTTTCATTTATTGAGAACACAATTTTTTATTTCGTGTTTATTTTATTTTTAGAATCATGTTATGTTTACAAAGAAGACATAACATTACATCTGTGCAATTCTCTCTTGATGGGGTCTACGGAGAAACGATGCTCTTTGGAAAATTGTCGTTATATCCACGATTTGCAGCAATATATGGCTAACAAGCAGCCAGATTTGGGCGTCTCTATAATATATAATATAATCTTGTTTATATAAATGTATAAAAAATATGCATTCATCTCCCCTTGTACGTCTCCTCAATAGTTTTATACAATTTTTATAGGTGTGCCATTCGATTGTACCCTATTTTGAAAAATTTAATGTTAATTCTTTCCATATATTCATACAAGTACTTGAAATATAATATGTAATCTTGTTTATATAAATGTATAAAAAATATGCATTCATCTCCCCTTGTACGTCTCCTTAATAGTTTTATACAATTTTTATAGGCGTGCCCTATTTTGAAAAATTTAATGTTAATTCTTTCCATATATTCATATTATCGAACGCATTAGCAAAGTTTGGCAACCCTAAATTGTATGAGCAAGAGGAATAATAACCAACTGTGCATAAAAGTGCAGTCAGTTGTCAAAAATGAAAAAAACCATTTTTTTTAAATTTTGGAATAATCTTTAATTAAATAAAGTCACATATTTATTTCAATATGGGTTTGTTTTTTATTATTCCCTCGATTTCTGCGGCATTTGGAGTTTTTGGGCCGTTTGGGTGGCGTGTTTGAATTATTTCCTCTGCGGCACCTTAGCCTCTCAATTTTGTAGCGTAAATCATACTTCTTTAGCTCTATCGTTTTTTCCCCGTTTTTTCCCTCTTCGCCTGTTTCTTTTTCGTTTTGGCGGCGTATGATTTGCGGCGCCAGGTGGGCATCCCGCCGCAAAGTCGTTCTTAGGTCTGAAAAGAAAATATATAAGTATTTTTAAAAAAAAAAGAAAAAATGTACCTACTTCTTTCTGCCTTGGCTGACATTTTTTTTTTAAATGAAATTTCTGCGCTCGTGCCCAGCGCTGCAAAAAAAAATGAATTCCATGATTCAATTATCGCGGAATTGCTGAAATGTTTGTGGGGTATTATTAGGAATCGATTTGGTGCTTTTGTATTGGAATGTTCGATGTTCCCCTTTCGTCCATTTCTAAATTACGCCGTAGCCGGTGCAAATGAAAAACGATTTCTAATTTTCGAATATTATTTAAATGTTATCATTGGTTTAAAAAAATTAAATTTATGCAAAAACAAAATTGAAATTCTTAAATACGACTCTGTGCGTGAGAAAAGTTAGATAATACAAATCCTTAAATACGACTTTGTGCGTGTGAAAAATTTAGATAATTTAAACTCCATTTGAGGTTAGGAAAGAATACATTTCCTATGTGAATGTGCAAAATCCAACAAGAGAAAATTTTCCAAACCAACTAAAAATTTTCCAAACCAAATAAAAAGTGTTCAAGTCAACTAAAAATTTTCCAAACCAACTAAAAAACGCTTAAATAAGTAGTCAGTGGATGCGGCTGAGGAGGAGTATGAGAGGGAGCACATGAGTGAAGGTAGAGGGACTGCGGAGAGGACAAACCGACTAAGGCAGGACCAACGAACGTCGAACAGGACGAGTCACAGACCGACTTACGAATGACGTTTAATTAAAGTAAAAATATATATTAGGTTATTTTATATTGCATTTTTTTTTCTTTTTATCGTCATGCGATACGGCGTGCAGAGAAGAAAAAGAGCAACTGTTCTACTGCAACGAGCTAGGTCGCGTGATATAAAATGGCGCCCAACGAAAACTTGTAACCCGGATAAGTAATTTAATTCCAGCTTTCCTAAGTATTTAATTTCAATAGCTTTGGTCGTGACACAAAACGGCGACCAACGGAACATGAACCTTTTAAATTTAGTTTATTTTTGATGGAAGTTGGTCGGCCATTGCAAAATAATAAAATGGTGCCCGACGAAAACGAAAATCCCATGATTGCGTTTAAAAAAAAAAAAAAATTAATATAATATATGCATTGGCATAATATATATTATATTAGGATAGTTCTTGCGAGACCTACGTTGGTCGCATGACATAAAATGGCGCCCAACAAAAACATGAACCACAAGGGAACCTTTGTTAATAGTTTAAAGCAAAAATTCCCTTGCAATGTATTTTCATGTTTTTTTTGTTTCGATTAATAAGTTGGTCGCCCGTGACATGACGCCCAACGAAGATTTAACTCGGTGTAAAATTAATACAATTTTAATTATTGCTGATACAAGTTGGTCACGCATTATTACATAAAATGGCGCCCAACGTGAGGTTTTAACCCGAGAAAGGAACAGCTATTTAATTTTTTTTTTATTTTTGATATACATGAGGTGGTCGTACATGCATGGCGCACAGCGAAAAGTAAACCCAAGAAACAGGAAAACTTAATATGAAAAATATTAAGTTAATTTCAATAAACGTTGGTCGCTTATACACCTAGTTGCAAAATAAAGGGAACCCAACGTAAAATTAATATAATTTCAGTCTATTAGCAACCTACCAAGCCTAGTAGGACATGACTTTAATGTTTCTTTCTATTTTATTCCCCACGGAAAAATGGATTCAAATATTTTAACAATTAGAGTTCGCGTACCACTGTGTCATACAAATAAGGCTAATTTTGAGAGGGTTTGTCATAATGATTATCAGACAAACAAAGTTTTATAAAGCTAGTAATTCCGAACTTACCAATTTCCTTCGTATAGTTACTATCTGTACATAAATGTTTATAAGATGTATTGAGAAAATCCAACTATTATAAGCAACTTTCATAAGATGTAACAAGAAGGAAATCAAACAATTGAAGAAATGGAAAGATATGTGCATTGATTATGCATGGCGCTAACTAGATTTCATTTTCGAATTTCGACTTTTTTACTGCAAGAAGCGGTCTTTCGAAATAGTCAAACTGATCATTTTTAAATGTTTTAAATTCAAAAATACGGCAACACTGTTTTTTGACATTAATACATTACAGTTGTTTCGCTTTTATTTCAGAGTGCACGTGTTGAAATAATTTCAATTTATTATTTAAAAGATCATTTGTACATGTATATTTATTAAAAATGCCTAAATCCAAAAGAGACAAGAAAAGTATAATTTTTCTTCTGCGTCACAATATTAAGTTTCTAATATTTGGTTGTCTCTTTCAGTATCGTTAACAAAAACGGATCGCAAAGGCCTAGCTTGGAAACAGTTAATAATTGAGGATATACGTAAATGTGCCGAAACATACCCTAATATTTTCGTATTTCAAGTGCAGAATATGCGCAACAATTTGTTAAAAGATTTACGAAAAGAGTGGCGGGAGAATTCTCGTTTTATCTTCGGAAAAAATCGAATTATGCAAATTGGTTTGGGCCGTACCAAAGATGAAGAGATGCAGACCGACTTGCACAAATTATCAAAAAGACTAACTGGTCAAGTAGGATTATTATTTACGGAAAAATCGAAACAAGAAGTTTTGGAATGGGCGGAGAATTATTGGGCTCTCGAGTATGCTCGTAGTGGCTTTTTAGCTACGGAGACAATTGTGTTGCCAGAAGGACCTTTAAAAGATTTTTCACACTCCATAGAACCGCATTTACGTTCATTGGGTATGCCTACAAAATTGCAAAAAGGTGTGATCCACTTGTACAAGGATTATACGGTGTGTGAAGAAGGTAAAGTTTTAAACCCTGAACAGGCGAGGATTTTGAAATTAATTGATAAACCGATGTCAAAGTTTCGTTTAACAATAAAATGTTCTTGGTCTAAAAGCGAAGGATTTGAGCTACACAAACCAGACGATTTGCAAAATAATGATAGCGGCAATGGGGACGAAGCAGAAGATATGGAGCAGGATGATAATGATGAAAGTGATTAGCTAAGTATTAATTAGTTCTATATTTAATAAAAATTTGAAAAAAGAAACCTAAGCTGAGGAAACACTGCTACTACCGCCACCGCTGCTACCGCTTTTCTTGGTAGGCTTATAAGCAATAACATAACGCTGCGCTACGGGCAACGGCTCAGCGTAACCATTAGTATATGAAGAATCTTCAAATAATACCTCGTAGTCTTCCGTAGCAGACTGAGGTAGTTTATGTATAATTGCCTTGTAAAAACAGGTTGTTTGAGGATACAGGGCCATAACTATTGAAATCAAAAAACAGGCAGTTCTGTAGATAAGTTGTCATTTTCGAATAAAAAACGGCTTTATCTACTTACCTATTGTGTCTTTGGCGAATAAAGCATGACCGTCTGTTTCCGGATTTGCTCTCATCAAAGGTAGCGGGATGACTTTACGTTTGCTTAACACATGCCGATCCTTCTGCTCCTCGTCGATATCGATAACGTCGTATTTGTTTTGCCTTTGCAAAAATTGCACTACTTCAGCTAAAATCCAATTCTCCTCATCCTCCACACCTTTTACCAAGGCAGCGACGTTATCACCCACTCTGGCTATATAATTACTCTCGGCAGGAATAGCTCCACATAGAGGTGGTACTTTTTCACCCGGTTTGCTGACAAACAAAGGCAACGTCTGCGCCGATATTTGGACCATTTTCATCAGAGCTCCACGTCGTATAGCTTCTTTATTTCCAGCATTACGGGCCTGTATGCGTCTTTCGTTACGAATATTGCGTATTTCTTGAATTTTTTCCAAAGCATTACGTATTGTAGCTTCCTCTACAACCGCGTCTTGTAAGCAAGATTTATATAAAGACTTCAATTTGCTTGGCGGTAAATTCGATTGTTGAGCTCTTGTTAAACTGTTTATGTTACCCTCTGAACGACGTCGTTCGTCATCGATTTGGTGTATTAGACGTTGCACATCCTTGAGGCGATCCTTTTGAAAAAAGAAATTTTAATATTTCTGAAAAGATTCAGCCAAGCTGTGTTACAGTTTCAATTGGCTCTTTTATTTATGATGATCAGTAGTTATAAAGTAAATAAATCTCGGTCTACATAGAAATCTGAACTGGTGTCATCTAAAGTTCAAATTGCCCACAATAACAAGAATTATCCACATTTACAAATTTTTTTTTTCCTTGGGTAGTTGAATGCAGATGGCGTATTTACAAGTAAACGGACTGATTAGCCATGATATGACTTTCGAAGCTTTACACTTTCTTAAAGTATTACCTGTATTTGTTGGGCAGCGTTTTCGGCAGTAAGAGGCATAGATCCGTTTGTTTTGTTTTGTAAACAATCTGAAAAAATTTCTTTTTGCTTGCGCTTTTAAACTGCCAGATGTATATTTTTCTTTTTGTAGCAAACTGTTTAAAAAAATTTTTTTGTATGACACAAATTAAAAGCAGATTATTTGCTTATTCTTTTTATTTTAAAAGCTCTATACAGAATTATCTGAATTTGACAGATTGTATGTGGCACAATGAGGCGTTATTCCCATTTTCGGGATGAGGGCTTCTACTTTGTCGACTTTTTAGGAAATTTAATGGGAATTGAAAAATTGTATCCTTTTTTATAACATAATATTAATAAAACAGAAAGAAAAAAACATAAGAAGATATGATGATTGTTTGCTCTAAATTTTGAGGTTGTCTATCCAATTTATGCGGGTCCTACACTAATCTATTTTTTTTATATAATTTTTTGCTTACGTTTACGTTAATTTTTTTATATTTGATGATAAAAGCATATGGTTTGTTTACATTTTCTGTAAAATTATTTGGTAGCAGGGCTGCACATTTTACTTACCATTTGGAGTTGTTTAACCTGGAAGCAAATATAGCGTCTCATTGTGTCAACTCCCTATTTATTTGGGTTCAGAAAATAAACGCGCAGACTGGCAACGTTTTTATTATATTAAACAAAACAAACTGGCAGCACCCTATTTTCCTGCCGTCGATTAGCAATTTCTTTTCACAGCATTTATTTCCTTCTTTTCATCTTTGATCTTCGTTACGTGCAGACATGGCGTAAGTGTGGAAATCATATACAAAATTATATTCGAAATCACTTAAATAAAATCAAATACTTGCTTTTATTTACTATTGAAATTGACTGGAAGACAAAAAACTATATGTATTTTTGTGATTGCGGCAATTAAAAACCAACTTTTTAGAATTTCGATGTTCATTAAAGTTTGGAAATAATTGCAATATTGAAAAATGAAAATTTATTTCAATTACTAACGATAAATGAAAGTAATTACTTATAACAATTTTTGTACATTACTTAAAATTCACCTCATATTTTTGTATAAAAAACGAGAAATTAATTTTTTCTATTTTTTTTCATTTACAGTTCTAAAGTTTCACGTGATACGTTGTATGAGAGTGTCAATGCTATCTTGGGTTTTTCGCAAACAAAAAAGCGTCATTTTCTGGAAACCGTGGAATTGCAAATTGGTTTAAAGAACTATGATCCTCAAAAGGATAAGCGTTTCTCCGGAACTGTCAAGTATGTTAAGCGCAACCTGTATAAATGATGGTTTGGTTTGCAAATCAATATGAACTTGCCCGAGTGATCATTTGTTACAGGAAGTCGGGTGTTTTTCATTTCTAACATCACTCGACGGACCTGCACTCAGGGTCTTAAAAGCCAAATGAGTAGGCTCTCTTTTAGAGATGCTTTATAAAAAGCACTCTGAAGTGTAGCCGCCCAAAACTGGCCAATTTGCATTTTTTTTTTTTTTTTTATTAAGAAAAAAGAGAATCTAAAGGAAAATGATTAGCTACGATTTAACATCTTCGCAATGAGGTGTTGTGTAAGTTTACAAAGAAAAAAAATTTTTTTTTGGAAGTGCAATAAAAGTGATGATTATAACTTTGTTGCATGTATTACCTGAAAACCATTAGAGCCTTTTGGTTTTTATGTGGCAAAAATCAGCTGAAATTTATATAAAACTACCAAATATATCCATTCTTGCGAACGTGTTTCTTAAACAAAGCATTTCTTCAATTTTACAGATTGAAGCACATACCCAGGCCCAAAATGAAGGTTTGCATTCTTGGTGATCAGCAGCATTGCGATGAAGCCGCGGCTAACAACATTGAATGCATGGATGCCGAGGCTTTGAAAAAACTAAATAAGAATAAAAAGTTAGTCAAGAAACTGGCTAAATCGTATGACGCTTTTTTGGCTTCAGAGTCGCTGATTAAGCAGATTCCTAGGCTCCTGGGTCCTGGTTTAAACAAGGCTGGCAAATTCCCTGGTTTACTTTCTCATCAAGAATCGATGACTTCCAAAATTGAAGAAGTTAAGTCAACAATAAAATTCCAAATGAAGAAAGTTTTATGCTTATCTGTAGCCGTTGGTCATGTGGATATGAAACCCGATGAATTGGTTCAGAATATTCATTTGTCTATTAACTTTTTGGTATCGCTTCTAAAAAAGAATTGGCAAAATGTGCGCTCTTTGCATATCAAAACAACAATGGGTCCGCCTCAGCGTCTCTACTAAATTTTTAAGTTGTAAATGGAAAATAAAGTTAAATTATGCCTGAATTGCTCTGTTTGAAGCGAAATATGCCTGTTTTAATAAGAAAACTTTTGAAGGAATGCGTTGAATGTATAGATTGAACATGATTCGGTTCTCAATTTACTCACATTGTACAGCACAGTATTAAAAAAACTAACAAAAGGTTTATTGAATTATTAGACAATATGTTCTTTGTATAAATTCAAGTTCCACAATAATCAGTTTTAAACATGTTGGTGAAGTGTGACAACGTCTTTTAATAAATACATAGCCATGAGATTTTTACCTACAAGTTTCGTTACCTTCAATTTGTTTTGCTATCTTTGGCTGTGAAAATGGGTGAAGACTTTGGTGAAACCATAGGGGGCGTGTTTCTGAAGCGGAAAATTTAAATCCCCCCCCGCCTTCATGCTGACGCATTTAGCAGAGCAATTTTACCATCAACGCCAAAAATATCCGGATTTTTTTGTAAAAAATGTAACGAAGGTTTTCATTCATTTTTACGCTGATTTAACTTTTAACGTGGATGACAAAGTAAGAGACTAACTATCGGTAAACGTCGGCTAATTAACGCAGTTTTATTTATTTATATTTTCCGAGTTTTCATTCAATGATAAAAATTTTGGGAATATATTTTCCCGAAAGAGTAACATTTTTTCAAGAATATACATCTATCGATTATCGTTTAAGTCTTTTGGCATTCCTGCCAAATGAAATTTACGATTTAACCGCCATGTGCATACGATACTTCTTCTTCTGTTATTCAGCAAATTAACAACCGAAAATTCGCTGGGATATGTAAAAAAGGCCTAATGTGCATGCGATACGATATTGCGGGTTTGTTGATTTTCGTCAGCTGATTTGGCTTTTGTTATTTACTGAAGTGCGTTCATTCTTAAATGGATAACAAAATAAAAATGTAAATATTTTTTATATAAGTCGTTAGTAAATAAACATTTGTGTCATTTTTTTATGTAATAGTCTAGTGGTTGGCGACGTTTGCGGTCGCTTTAAACAGCTATTTCAACGTCTGGAAAGTATTAACAAGAAATCTGGTCCTTTCGAGATTCTTTTATGCGTGGGTAATTTCTTCAGCGATAGCGATAAGCAAAATGAAGAATTAATCGCGTATAAGAACGCTTGTAAAACTAGTAAGTATGTCGAAGGATTATACATATAAATTTGAAAATAAATAGCTTTTGTTTAGTTTCTGTGCCTACGTACATATTGGGCCCTACGTCAGAGATTTTAAATAAGAATTACCAAGTTAACGAGTGTGGAGAAATTTGCACTAATTTATCATATTTGGGTAAACGAGGCCTATACAGCTTAAGTTCAGGAGTCAAAATTGCATACGTAAGCGGCAGAGAAAAACCTCCAGAAGACCAGCAATGTGAGGCAGCGTATTATTTCACAAAAGACGACATAATAGCCGTGCGTAATTTATGTTTCGTTAATAAATCATCAGCCAGTGATTATAGAGGTATAGATATACTTTTAACGTCTCAAGGTCCTTATGGTTTAGATGAACAAGAGGTAAAAACTCCACTTGATGTTATATTATGATGTTATAAATAATTGTCGTAATTTTTTTATAGTTAAACTCCTCTAAATTAGTATCATTCTTATGTAAAGAAATTAAGCCCAGATATCACTTTCATGGGCTCAGCAAGAAGTACAAAGAACCGGCTCCATTTAGGTAACTGTATAAGATGGTACATTTTTTTAGTAAAACTTTAAAATTATCGTCGCAGATTACCTGCTGATCAAACCACTCAATTAGAACTTTGCACGCGCGTTATTTCGTTGGCAGCAGTTGGGAATGAAAACAAAGAAAAATACATTTACGCTCTAAGTTTAACGCCAGTCCACAGAATACGTGTCTTGGATTTAATACAGAAAACTACCAATGAATTGAAATGTCCATTTGCAGATATAAACTATAAAGATGTGAATATTACGAAAGAGGAGAAGGTAAATATTGTTGCGCATTTTTTTTAAAATTAATATAATAATTCATTCTTTTATAGTCGGACAAACAGCAATATTTTTATGATATGGAAACAAGCAATAACCAGGGAAATCACAGAAAGTTGGGAAAAAATCCTTTAAAAAAACCTCGAATTATGAAAGTGGATCAAGGTTAATGATAAACTTTAATTAAGAGAAGTAAAAACATTATAGTCACACAACGCCGACTGTTAAACACTTAAACCACATCGTCTGTTTCAACTATTCATCCGTTTTCATATAAACAATTTCCATTGGAACCTTTATATAGGATGGGGTCCATAAATTTGGTCTACGTGATTTTTCTCCACTTAGTTATACCCTACACGATCGAGCCAGAATCGTTTTAAGCACGCCTGTCCGTTACATCCCCTGAGGTCCGTTGATGTACGTTTGTGTGGAACCTACAATTCGTTATTCAAATTTGGTACAGTGACTAGTTTTGGCGCAAGTACATCCCTGATTGCAAATGGATTGAACTGGATAATGTGCACGCGCACTTCCCATATAACGGAACATTTTCAAACAATCGTCAAATTTTCGAGAAAGGGGAAAGCGGAACAACTCCATTTTCATACCCTACAATTCTGAGGGTATTACAGCATCCTTAATAGAATATACGTTGAAAAATTTTTGTAGAGAAATCTGCTGAAGTTATGAGTAATGAGCAAATAACCAATTTTTTAGACCTTTTAAAAAGCAAAGGTTGTCCCACTTTACCGAGTACCGTACATATGCCCTTCAACCGATTTCTCCCATTTTCAATATTAACTCAGAATTTCCAATGCTTCTGCCAAATTTTAAAGTCTATAGCCTAATTTTTGCGGCCAAGAGAATGTTTATAACAGACGTAACACAGGCGCACAGACGCACAGACAGATGGCTATGCGGACATGCTTAAATCGATTCAGAATTTTATGCTGATCAGGAATATGTATACTTTGTAGGTTCTCGGAAATGTCCTTCCCTCATACTTCGCTGATGGGTATAAAAGTGGGCGTGATGTATCAATATTATTATATATATATATATATTAATATATATTAATGCTACAATATCAATAATTTTCAAAAAAATCCATTTTATTGCTGACTTATCTTTTTAACTTTTGGAATATTTTGATTTTGATAGAAATCTGTTGGTTTTGCTTGTCTTGTCCGGACGTCGAAAAGCATTTAATTATTACCATTGGCGAGCATTTCTACTTAGCATTAGCTAAAGGACCTGTTAACGATTATCACATTCTCATTTTATCCATTACACATATACCGGCTGCCTCACAAATTACGAATGACGAGGAATGGGAGGAATTATTAAATTTTAAAGATGCGTTGAGGAAATTCTTCAAAGATCAACAGCAAGTCGTTTGCTTTACAGAACGTAATTATAAATCATCGCACTTACAAATCAATTGTTTTGGCATTGATGCCGGATACAGCTGGAAGATATCTCATGCATTCGAGGATAAAGCTGAAGAGTTTGAACTGAAATTCGAAAATCTAAAAGATTTAAATTCCCCACAAATGTTACCTAGTCAAGGGCCATATTTTGTGGCGGAATTATCTGATGATACTATATTGATAACGAGGCAAATGAAACACTTTCCTTTACATTTCGCCAGGTAATTTAGGAAATTCCTTTAAAATTTTCAAATTGCAATAATATTTTTACACACATTTTAGAGATGTTTTCTGTTCGCCAAATTTATTAAATTGTGAAGAAAAGACGGATTGGCGCGATTGTAAATTGGAAAAAGCTAGAGAAGTTGAACTCGTACAAAATTTCCGAGAAAAGTTTTCTAAATACGATTTTACTAATTAAGTGGCAATGAAGTTTTAACAAATATAAATCTTTTATGGAGCAACTTTTAAGAGAATGCGCATAAATTATAGATAAGAGCGGAATCGTATTGAGCATGTTCGAGAATTTCTTTGAAAGAACCTTATTGCAACTTAATGATCTTAGCCTAAAATTCCTTTTTTATCTTCAAACTTGGAAGTTACTTAGTTCCACGCACAGCAGGAATTCAGATGGTTTTCAAGCAAATTCTAAAGACATTTCAAATCGCTTCAATAACTTTAGCTTGTTTTATATCTAATATAGCGGGGAATATACATTTTGTCATAGCATTTTATAAATAACATTTTGTAAAAACAAATTATAATTTTATACACAAAGATTTCAAATTTACAATCTTTCGACTCTTACTAACGATCTATTGCAGTCTTGTCTTTTAATTAATATGCCCCATTTTCAGCGAAAACTTCAAGCGTCAACTTGCGGGTAAGTACTTTTAATGTTCGTGAATTTGGCTATCTAAAAAATGTTTAGCACACACTCATTAAAACTTTTGATATTTGAAATTTTGAACAATTTTCAATAACGTTTCAACTCTGAGCTAGATTCTTATGTTTTTTGCAAAGAACCGTTGTACGTTATTTTTTTGTCAAATCAAATAAAACGTTGCCGCATTTTACATTTGCGAGCAAAAACAGAGATGCCTTCTCAAAACAATCCCGTTTTCGCAAGTAAAAAAACAAGAAGAAGAATAAAAATATTCTTTGAAATCATGTCTTGAATGCAGTTGATGCTGACATTTCCACAACCTATATTTTACTAATTAATCATTATTTATTATATATAAAACTATAAATTTTAAAAATAAATTTAATATACTATTTTTTTATTTAATAATAATGATAAATAAATAATTAATTAATACAAAAACTTAATTCGAATAAGGAAATTTTAATCATACTATGTGTAAGTTCAAGGGGATTTCATATTTTTTTGTATTTGCATAAAAATAAAAATTTTAAAACCACTTTTTAACAAAATCATTTACATATACATAGTCGAATAGCAAACAACTATTCAGTGGCATTATACTTTTCTTGCAATATCCGAAAATTTTTACCCAAAGCAAATTAAATTGGTTTATTGTAAAATTTAGGAATACAAAATTAATTTTACGTGGGTATTAAGATCATTTTTACCCCCTATTATTTCAAATCAACTCAAAATAGAGTCTTAATTAATGGTTCTTGAAAACTTTAAAAATTTGAAACACCATTTGTTTCAAAAATTATTTCAGATCGCCACTTAACATTTCTGATTGCGTTGATTTTTTATGTGACCCATCAAGGCATTCATAGTCGACTATAAAATTAAAATTTCTTTGAAATTTTTCTTATTTTTTATTATATAAAAAAAAAAATTCTACACATAATGGAGACGTAAACCATAAAATTACTAAATTTTATAAAACATTACCCTACCGAACAAGTAAATTTACAATGGTTTAAAAAATATTTGCGATTTGAGATAATTTTATGCTGATCTTTGGTAAATCTTATTCAACACTTCTAAAAATGTGTCTTGCGGTACACCGCGTGAAGTTTGCTGAATATGAGTTTTAATCATATTATAGGATTCTTGTTCGTAGTCAGCATAAGTGTTGGGCAAACCCAATGTTTTATACAGTTCCTTAACATGGGCTACCTTGTCTGGTTCTAAAATTTGACGCATTATTAAGAAAGCATTTAAATGCATTAAATAAAGACTTACCAGTTTTTCCATAACATTCTAGCATAGCGGCTTTTTGTTCATCGTTAGCTCTTTGCATACACACGACAGCTAACCAGGAACATTTATTGTCTTGTATGTCAGTACCCAATTTACCGGTGATTTCTGGTTTACCGAAACAATCCAAGAAATCGTCTTGCACTTGAAAGAAATGACCAATTTCCATAGCAATCATTTTGGTTTGACGCAAAGCTTCAGCATCTTTCAGTCTATCATTTAAAACATTCAATAAATCGTCATCAAATCCTAACTGCACTGCACTTACCCGGCTAAATGCATCGCCGCAGCTATAGGCAAGTAAAATGTATAATGCGATGTTTTATTAGCTGCTATTGTCTTGTACGTGTCCATCGTAAATGTAGAGACACTTTTATTACTATTCAGCATATCCAAGGATTGTCCACACGTCGTTATAAATGTCATTTCATGGAACAGATGCATTAAATCCAAATAACACTCTAAGTGGGAAAAATATTTTTTTAATAGTACATAAATACCATTCTCCAGCATTATGCTATCGTTAAAAGCAATTAAGCCAACGTTGTCAAGTCTATGCCAGCAGGTTTGACCACGTCTTGTAGTACTATTATCCATTATATCGTCGCTTAAAACCAAAAAACATTGCAGCTTTATAAAAATAATATTAAAAGATATATAAATCAAATAGATTTCGGCATAAATTTTTGAATTAATAGACATCCTACCAATTCTAGACACCAGCCCAAAATTTGAGCTAATTTCAAATTTTCTGTCGTTATATCTTTGACTAGATTTTTATAAGTTAACACAGTTAAAAGTCCTCGGAATTTTTTACCATGCAATACATTGTACTCTAAAACCTTAAAAGAAATTAAAAAAGTAAATAACAACTGAGCGACTTAATAAGAGCAGAAGAAAACAACAAACTTTTTTTAGCCAGGTAGAAGCATCTTTTGAATTATATTTATCGGCATGATCAGTTAAGTCACGAATGATATCTGAAATATATAATTTATATATGTATATAGAAATAATTAATACTTTTTCTGTAATTAGGGGAAGAAAGTTTTCTTAAATTTTTACAAAAAAAAAAAGTGGAAGCATTATTAACAAAAAAAATGTATTTCCTAAAAATTTTGCTTATGTAAAATATTTATCAGTCAGACAATCAGTTTAACAAAAAGATTAAACGAAAGATAATCGAAAAATATTTATGTATATTCTAAAATACTAGGAGATAATCCAATGTCTTAGAATACTTTCTCAACATATGCCCATTGGCGGTAAAGATATCGATCAATTCAATTGAACTCAACGGTGGTGAAATAAAAATGGGTCGACATGATATTATGTTGTTGCCAAAAACATTGTAATTTGTTGTAGAATATGAGGAAAACCGTTGTTCCAAATATTCTACAACAAAAATCCTTTTTCAAGTGAAAAGTGATCGAAACTTTTGCATATGTCTAATATACCAAAAGTAATGTAATATTATATATTAGCTTAGAAGGATTAATTTTTTTACATTATTCAAGATATCAATTTCTTTTCTTGGCTGAATCTTCTAGAGAAATAATGAAAAAAAATTAATTAGTTGAAAGAAATTTTTTTCTTGTAACTTTTGGCTCTTCTCCCTGGACACGACAAATGCTATCTGGAAAGTTACAGCTCAATATCGTATCGTGTCATTTCTATTATCTCCAAAACACTACAGTTGCCTTTAGAAAATATTTTTGCTTTAAACAAAACAACGTTAGTATAATCCTGAGTTCGGCTAACCATAATTTTTTTTTTTTTGCTGCTCTATCACTAATTTCGCAGGAAGTTTTGTCAAACTGCAATATAATCCCAGGAAGATGTAGGTGGAAAGCTTAGCGAGTATAGGCACACTGGATAAGCGCAATTTGGTCTCATCGATCATTAACTGCAAACCAGTAATAAAACCGAAACAAGGCTATAGAAAAATTATATTTCAAAACAACTTGATGATTATCGTGAGGACAAAATAGGTTGAAACCAGTCTTTTCCAAAAAGAAATCCAATGTTCTCAATCTTTACTCATACCTTATATATCCATTTTATAAAACCATGCAATTACCCTTTCATGGAGAACGATTGCGAACCACAAATGTTGCAGAAGGAAATTTTCATTTAAAACGCAATTTGGAATGTGCCGTAAAGATCGCTTTGATGACGGAATTATTTTTGGGCATTGAGTGCTTACTAGAAAGGATGTCCTTTTACATAAAGTCGCGTTATTTTTGAAGGCAAACTAAAAAGGGCGTCTAATTTCAAATGCTTTCGAAGATTTTTCTGTGCAGATTCTGATCCAATAGAGAATACATATTCCCCATAATTTATTCTCAAAGTTGCACGAAATTTGCCTAAGAACTTTAAAGCCGGTGTATGAAATCGTGCAAGATGGACAGACACAATAGGTAAAAAGAAAATCTCCTTAACAACTTACGATTTATGGTAGACTTCAATAGGAGTCTATGTGCAAGTATTCGAAATTTTAATACAAAAAAAAAAGACAACGAAATACGAACAATCTTAGTTAACAGAAAACTCTTAGAAAAAGTGGATGACAAGGATACCTCCCGAGAATATAAATTTTTTTAAACTAATAATTGAATACTTTACTTTTTTTTCAAATTATTAGAGTCCATATTAAAATTGTTCTTCCGAGGCGCAACTCTGCGTATATATAAAATATAGAAATATGTTCTACGAGATTAATAAAAGTTAAAAGTAATTTAAAAAACCAGGGAAAAGTTACAGTTAAAAAAAATGAAACTATCACTATATATACATACCAGTAGACAATGTCATAAAATCACGACTTTCATTTGGTGAAACTGAAATACGGGTCGCTAGAGGCAACGAGTCATTTTGCAATGTGGATAACGTTCTGAAAAAACAAATCAAAAACAGTTTTCAATACGTTGCCGGCATCAATCACTTGACATAATTCCTTTTTATATATAAATATTTTTCACAACTGGTAAGTAAATTAATTAAAACTATTTATTTACATGTGTTTTCTTAACATCTGTATGTTGATAATAACAGCAAATATTTCTCAGATAATGAACAAATAAAAAAATTATATTTAATTTAAATCACTCACAAACTTTAAGTCACTGAATAACAAACATAAAGTAATAACTAAGTGACGATGCATACACTGTAACCAATTTATTTATTTACTTGCCTTATACCTTATCATACGTATGCGTGCATGCATATACGTTCATATATAAAGATACATAAATAAATAAACAAATATTTTGGCCCTACAGTTCAACTATATGTAGCATGCTATTGCCTATTTATGCATGTGAATCTATTTTTAGGTAACAAATAATCCGCCTTAAGAAATGAGAACTGGTTTGAATATATATATGTAAAGGAAAACAATAGTGCCAGATAAAAGACTAACAAACAATTAAACTTAGATCTTAGATTTTCGAGAAAGCATAACATTTTTCTAAGTAAGAAAAGTATAAAGTCACAAAGTCAAGTTAACTACGAGTATAACAATACAACACTTTGAAAGCAGAAAGTAGAAAAGTTGTGATCTCTATTACACTTTATTGCAGAAAAGAAAGCATTTCGCACGTCCAATAGTTTTTTTTTGGTTTGTTGTACACTATTGGAAAAAAAACTCCTTATCTCTAATAGCAAAATCTGATACTGTTAATAGAATACTAAAGCTAATCATAATACAAGAATAATGTGTGCGGATCTATACGTACAAAAGCCGGCCAACCATCCCTTCAACTTTAATATTGATATATAGACGAATATTGTTAATATACATTAAATCTTACCGCGATGTTTTCTTTAGCTTTTTTTGATTAACAAGATCACTTGGTAAACCGCCAATTCTTTCTTTCGCTTTAGTATTGACTTGTTCTGAATTTTGTAAAATTTCACTACTTGAAATATAACGGCCGGATAGAATACTAAAAAGGTTATTAGCACTCGGCGAAAAAGTAAGCAATGTACGCGGCAGTCTATGTATTAAAAAAAACATATTCATGTAAGCGATCCGCTAAACCACCGCTGACTCTACACAGTTAAATTTGTTCTAAGTACAAGAAGAATTTTCTTTTCAGAAAAAAACACTGCCAGCAATTCTTTTACAAATCAACAAGAAACAACAATATGAATTGTATAAAGAAAACTTTTAACAACTGAGTTCACATTTAATGGACAATGTAGCCAGACTTGAAATTTTTATAATAATTGTATCGTAAATCGTTCGATATATATTGACTCATTTTCGCTATGCCATTGTGAAGAAAATGAATTAAACATATTTCACATATAAAACAGTGCTTAGCTCTTTTTCCCAAACTCAGGACTGCCTGCTGGCGTTAGTCTATCATCATTTTATAAATGTCCTACATAATAGTATTCAGAGTTGAACACTTTCTCCTGGTGTCTTAATATTGGCAACATTCTGAGGAAAAGTACCACCCTGCTGGAATTAGTGTATCCCCATTTTATAAATATCCTACACAATGGTAATCATAGTCGGGCGCTTTATGTTAGTTTCTTAACATTGGCAACATTCTAAGAAAAAGTAGTAATGAACAAATCGAGTTTCTTGTTGAAAAAGGTGTGATCGGCATACGTCTTTTTGTAGAATATTTTTGTCTGTGTGATTTTTCATTACGTTACTGTTTTAATAAACGAGGTAAGTCGAAAATTTCGCAATCTTCTCATTAGAAAAGTAATAAAATATATAGTCTTCTGAATTTTCGATAATGTAAGAAATCTGTTCGAGCTGAACAAGGGAAAAAAACAATACCGATTTAATTTCTGTAACGTAATGTGTGCAAGCGTGTCTATGCACTTAAATGATTGTAATGCGTTGAAAGGTGGTAATGGGGAAAAAGTGTGTATATATATGTGCATGAATATATAGTACATATATATAAGAATATCTACATATACATATATAGTGAAAATGTGTGCGCGTTTTACGCGGTTGGTGTTGACATCGTGTGTGTGCGGTTTCAACTTAGTGGGCTGAGGAAGATATCAAGAAAGAAAGATTCTTACATATTTCATGCTGGAATTTGCACTAAACGATTTTAATTAATGTCAGGAAAGCTTAATGCTTCCCCGCAAAAAAGGACCTTAAATTTTTTATGTTATTCCATACTTTCAGTCAAGTTTATGCGAAATTGTTTTTAGCATATGACGACGCGATGACGTAATTTTTCTTTGATATATACACGAGCGATTTAGTCTGTTAACTGTGTTGCCATCAGTTACTGATAGTTTTTCTCATTTTCTTTTTATATGTTCTTTTTTCTTTTTTTAATTTCTGAAAAAAGTCAGAGTTGTAACAATTGTTGATATATGGCACGTAGAATGCAACATACATACAAACTTACTTACAAGCACTTTAGCTATGCGCTATAGCCCGGTATTTTTGTCGATATATATATTTCGTTCTGGTAGAATAAAAGTTCTACTGTATGCAATAATTGTGTGTAATAATAGTGGAGTTTCTCACGACGTTCTTAAGATTCCGTTTAATGTACTGATTAAGCAAAAGACACCGTTATGTAAATAAAGCCATAGAAAAATTTTTCTTACTAACGCTTGCTCAAATTGTAAAGTAAATGAAGTGTGTACGCAAGACAAGACTATAATGAGTGGATACAATATACTGCTTACTAAGAGTTTTTAGCGGGCATGATTCACTAGTAATTCATTGAAGTACTGTTTCTTGAATTCGTTTTCAAATCATAAAGGATTTAAAAAACATTGAGCCTTAAAAGTAATGAAACTGGTGTTAATAACATTGATAAGGTACATAATAAGTCTGAATACACGTTATTGACCTCCAGGTAAGGCTCAATGCTTTTTTTACTTGGTGTAACTTATTCTATACACATCTGCATATGTACATATATCTTTATTCATTTATGTCTATATTATGAAATGCATATATTTATTGCAATGTTAACGTTTGGTAGCGTCATGACTCGGTCTTGCTAATAACACGGCAGTGCAGGGAAAACAATAATTGGTAGAACAAAAAAAAAAAAACGATTGAAAACACAAAAAAGATAATTGAGAAATAAGAGTTTTTTAATTTGTAAAGCCAAAGTGCACATTTGATGTCTTTTCTTCCCCGATGCCGATATCTTTCTCACTTATACATGTCCATTCGATCACTAGTAACATTCAAGCGCGGATTAACAGTGCACACCAGGATGGAGTATCGGTTGCCTTTTGCCTTTAGGAAGAGTCGGAGAAACATTTCTTCATTGAGTAAACCCATCTCCATCCAGAACCAGTTTTAATCTTCAGTCCTATTTCAAGTCAACATGGACTTTAAAATCCGTTATAAGTATCCTCGGATGTGTTCTCTATTCTATTAAATTTTCATTGCAAAGACAGTGTATTCAATGAGTTCTTCGGTTATATGCTGAGAAATATGTAAAACAAACTAGTTTTACTCAACCGTTCCGCTTTGCGAAGCTTTATAAGTCATCAGGTATATACTGCTATTAAGGAGATGGATTCTTTTAAAAAAAAATTATATTCACCTTAGAATGAAAACACTCACCACCGATCTGGGAACCGGTCCGTACCGTGTACCGTCAGATAAAAAAACGAACTTAAACTCAATTGGGAAGAATTTCATATTTCCATTTGTGGTCGTCATCTGTGCTTTTCGGCTGCTATGAGTGTTCCAATAAACGGTGGTCAAACGTTGGGACTCCATCTTAAGCAAAATGTCGCATAATTTTAGCGTAGCATTATCTAGAGGTGTTTAAAGGAGAAGAAGAAGAAATAGGAGAATACAATTTTTTTCTCTCGTATATAATCTATGTATTCGTATGGCATTGAAACTAACATAACGCTTAGTCTAACACGGTACATCTGCACTATTTATACGCACTTAAAGCAACGGTCTGGGCGAGTGGACATTGAAGCAAGACGAACAGACGGACAGACACGCTTAAATCAAATGAGAAAGTGACTCTGTATATATCAGTATAATAAAAGATGGTTCTTCCTTAAGTCCTTCTTTTTATTGTTACATTCGCACAACCTTAATGTACCCTTGCATCACAAGTTGCGTAGGGTATAATGAGAAGACAATCATACCTAAAAGAAAACGAATAACACAGTGTACCCGAGTACGGGTCACTGTTAAGCTCTTCGATGCAGGACATCATTTGAATAAAAGATGGATCTATCTCAAATCCTTCTATATGTCGCGTACATCCGCACAAACTTTATAACTCGCTATAACATTTGATACGGTATTGCTATGATTCTCAGCAAATGCGAATTTTTACTTGCCCTAACACTTGGTCCAGGATAACTTAACCTTGATAAACCTATCTCTAATTGTTCGGCTGAGGTAATGGGCCATTATCCATTAGGTATAATTATTACTTATAACAATTAATCGCTTACGTTGATTCGATTCGCTATATGATTGCAAGGTGAATTGATAAGCGAAAGTTTTTAAAACTACGGTTATTTTAATTCTAATCAAATTTTTGATAAGATTTGTTTTTTTTTTTTTAATGAACCACAGTTAAGAAGTGGGTTAAACAGGGAAACTAGATTCCTTAATGTGTTTTCAGAGTGAAACAAGATGTCAGCGAGTTAGTCAGAGAGATAAGGAGAAAAAAAGAGCGCGAAGAGAAAAGTTACGTTGAAGCATAAAAGAAGACTCCGAAAAAAAATGTCCAAGCGATGCGTCATTGCGCTTTTTTTATAACTATGGTAACACAGAAGAAATAAACCATCGACAGCGAAATAGTAATGTTGTTACAAAAACATATCAAAATGTTTGTTGTCAAGTTATGTGCCGTTAAAAGTTGAAATCACGTGGTAGCAAAGCATAGGTTTTGTGTATAAGGCGGTGGTATTGTAATCACTAAATATTGAAAATAGTATTCGTAGTTTTTTTTTATTAAATACTTTACGACGTTTTTCTAGTATCGACTAAAGGAACGAATAAAATTCTTTACTTCTTAGGGGAGAATGCATGATACTCGCTTTATATTGGTTACAATTTTTTTTTCTAGCCATTGCCACCATTAATTGCCGCAATGATCTAGTAGTTTTGTAAAAATTATGTGGAGAGAGAGACAGAAGCAGAATTTCTTATGTCGGTCTCTCAAAAATGGAAGTGTGCCGTATTTATCATTTTGTATGTGGCACCTACAAATAAGTGTCAGCATCATAAGTCTTTTGGCCGTAATCGTAACTCCATGCATTGGAGACTTTCCATTAATGGTTAACGTTTATAAATTTGTCCACGTCTTTCCAAGTCGTTTCGTTTATTAGCTGTCAAAGATGGCAAGAATAAAAATTTATAAATTTCCGCCTACAGCCAGTGAAAAGTTGATCGTAAAGCTGGTCCTGGTGGGACCCGCTATCATTGAGATTGTTTTGCAATATTTCAAATTAGCTAAGTGTGATGAAAATATAACGTTCACCACCTTAAGGTGAAGATAATTTTCTTCTTGTTTTCGTTTAATTTAATTAAATATGTATTTTTGCAAATATGGGTTTATATAAATCGTGACATCTCTACGGTTATTGTTATTAAACTAAATCTAATCGTCCTTCTCAAAAATGCAGCTTGGAAGCAAAGCGCATGTTTATTTTTCTCTCTTTCTCTATATGTGTTATCTGACTTATTATTTGTGTGAGAATTAATTTGAATGCATACAAATCCTCCAGTTGCTAACTCTAGTTAGATATATTTCAAATGAACACACATGCATACAATGCGTTGAGATTTACTACACCTTCTAAACAAATTTTTTCTCTACACTTGTCTTGTCTACTAGCAAATATGCCTATGTGATTCTCAATAACTTTCTCTCTTCCTCTGTTTCTCGTCCACTCTCTCTTTTTACGGCACTTTATACTCACAATAATTTTTTATACTCTTTGTACATGAAATGTAATAATATTATCTCTCCTCTGCCTGCCTATAATTTTTATTTTACGGAATTTTTTCAGAGTTCTTGTGTCGCTTTTAGTCGTTTGGCTTCGTCGTAGTCGTTGTAGTCGTCGTCGTCATTTCAATTGAAGCAAAAGTAAGTAGATTATTTTCACACAAACAAGATTTTTTATTTCTTACTCACTGACCTCTCCGCAAAAAAAAAGTGAATAACTGGATTTTTCTTTTCAAAGAAAACTATGAATATGTTAAACAATTAAAATAGTGGGTGTTTTACTAGGTTTTTGTGATGAAGAAAGTGTTAATAAAAAAAAAAGTTATGTGTAAACCGAGACCAATTTTCTAATTAATGCTGCCGTTAGAAATTCTCTTTCAGTGTAACAGAGTAATAAGATGTGACTCGTTTTTAACGACCAACGTCGACTTGGCATTGTTAGTGTAGTCAGTCATTCAATCGATAAAAATACTACGCAAAAAAAATTTTTTATGTTTGAAAAAAAAAAGAAAAAAAAGAAAATTCCTAAACTGTGTGGTATGATTATCTCTACATATGTGGATAATATCTCTTTTTTTTCTGTAGGTCTTTCACTTAATAAGAGGAAGAGAATTCTATTATGAAGTGATTTTAATTTTATTGTAAAAGAAATCATGTTTTCATTTCTAAAAATTGAGTTTTACAATTTTTCATATATGGCTTATATTGTTATAAAAAAAAGTGATTATTGCTTGTTGTTTCATGTACGGCGAAATTTTTCTTTTCTTTACTTGCTTTCTATCTAAATGAAGAAAAATGTGACTATTCTTGGGATATTTAAATCGTACGCGTATGATACGTATGCCGAGCAACATAAATATATATATATATAGATATAGATATAATACATATGCATGTGTGCGTGTGTGTATGTACGCGTGTGTGTAATTATATATATACATATATAGGTATATATGAGTTTTCATATGGTTATTGGCTCTCTCATTTATTTGTGTATGCATTTACTCATTTGTCTTCTCTGCAGTGTTTGTTTCTGAAGAATTTTTTTTGTGTGCGCGACAGTGCTTGTGTGTATTTGCATTGTTTAGGTATTAGTAACTCGGCATTATTTCTGCTTTTATATTGCAGATGCCTCTACAAATACACTTATAACTATATGTAAGTCTCTATCAATGGTCGCCAATCGGTGGTTTACGTACCACGCTACGGGACCGGAAAAATTGTCAAAATTAAATCCAATATCTTAATAATAAGAAAATAGAAAAATTAGAAGCCAAAAGTACTTGAGTTCAAATGTTTTAGTATGTATTAGTGATCCCCGGAATTGTAATTTATAGAAAACTGTGTAGTTGCAGCTGATCTACATCAAATTTTAGTAAACCTTTCTCATTCTTTTAAGCCATTAATAATAAATTTTTTTTCATTTCCCACTTCAAATTTTCTTTCAAATATTTTATGTATGATGCCTGAACATAATAATTTTGTTTATCATTTTTTTAAAATAAAAAATAATTTTTTTTTCCGTTTTTTTGAAAATCATTGTATATAATATTACCTCTCTTTAATATATATCCCATTACTCTCACGTTTTTATATGAAAGAAAATGGAAAAATGTTACTCAATGTTCAGTATGAGATTGTGAAGGTTTGAAATGCAACGGCATTCTCTAAATGAGTGCGAAATACGCATTAAGTTCGTTCCACTGTTTAACCAAAATTTCGTAAGAACAACGTGATAACTATTTTACTACATTATATTAGGTAGAAAAATGTTTTTTAAAATATTTTTCTAATGAATATTATTGAATCAAAGATTGCTTATACAAGCGTATCGACATTTAATAAATACCAGCTTTAACTAAGAATATGTTCATTCTTCCAACCCACTTTAAACAGCCGGAAATATTCTGAAGTGACTAGAATCTGTCGATATAGCAAAGGGCAAAGGGAGGAAATACGCATGGAAAAGACCATCTTTTTTATAATAAGGCGCTCTGTTTCACTTTCTTGCATTTGAAGAAAGGATTACACATAGTTCGGCCCTTAAAAACATATAGACTTGGTTAAGTTCAACATGCATCGATTTTCTTGCTGCCAAGTATAGATATATTTATTTAATATCGACAACAGGAAAATTACCGTATTTTGCACTACACGAATAGGTTGGACGATATAAAAACTAGTCCAAATTTACCAAAACCTATTTTTTTTATTAGTTTTGAGATTCTTGATTAGCTTCGCTTTTATTTTGATGATATTGTATAAATACTGTATTGTCCTTTTATTTTTGAAATGGGCGATAAAAACGTTTGTTTTTGGAAACTTTGCTCTTGAATCGGCATTGAAAACCAAATTGCATTTCAAAAACTTTGTTTTGTATGAAAATTAAAGCGAATTATAATTTTTGAACTTAAATAATAAAGAAAATAATTTCTTTTCATAAAAACTCGTTAAGGGAAGTGATGCCTCTAAAAATTCTCATATTGACCGCTTTTTTACGCATCACAGCAAATTTTCGCTTGTTGATTGACTGAATAGAAGAAGTATCAGAAGAATAAGTGCTTAATATAAATTTTGTTTAGGTTGAGGGAAGCTTTGATTAGGTGTTTGCAAAAAAATTGTTACCACTTTTTTACTTGGCAAAGGGATTCATTGTGGAAAATTTGAAACAATTACATATTGTTTCCGTCGTCTTCTGCAACATTTAGCAATACTTTTGGTAACATTGCGATATTTTGTCAAAAGTAGCGATCCACCCACCGACCCAATTCCCCACTTCTCCAATTTTGCCGATCCACGTAGCAGACAACCCATGCTGTATCATGCTGCCATGGCTGGTAAATAAGTTGGGTCAGCGGTCAAATTGAATTGAAGGCAATTCACTTACAATAGGTGAGCAACTTTGAGAAAACCAAACTCGATGTTTTAAAAAATTTTTTGCCTTTGAAAACTTTGAGCAAGTCAATTCATAGGCTTGAAATTTGAGACATTTAGGAAGTTATACATAGGTATGAGTAAAAATTTGGGTAGACGTAATGCCAAAGTGTAAATTAAAACAGTATAAAAAAATTAGCCATCAGATGCGTTGCTCATTCCACCAAAATTTTTGTTTAGGTTCTTTCGACTGGTTTTCATTTTCTTTAAAAATGATACTTCTACTAATTAACAGACTTGAGGAATTTTCGCCTACTGGTCATGTGTATATATATGTATCCACTTTAAAATACGACGAAAGGGACTACTTCAGGTTTTTTTTTTTTCTTTCAAACTGAAATTGAAAAGAAAGAAAAAAAGAAACAAACAGAAGTTACGCTTGCGCTTCCCCTGTAGAAGTTTTTTGTAAATAGACGTAAAATTGATGAACAAAAAAACAAAAATGGTTCCGTTTTTCTTCTCTCCTCCCTGTGGTAATAAGTAGTAAATTTAAAAATTGTTAAACACACACTTTTCAAGAAAAATCATAAAGGAATGGTGATATCAAGGCTTCAGTGCAAATTTCCTTAATGTGTAGTGTGGGGCGCAAAATGAATTAATGTAAGACTTGTTGAGTGAGAACGTGATTGATTTCTTCGAGTTGCAAATATTGTTTTTTTTTTCCTATTTATCTTCAAAGCAATCATTTCTTGAGGTAAATTCAAGGCAGCAATATTTACCCCAGCCAAGGTTCAAGCTAATAAGAAGAAAAGAAAACATTGAAAGCAGTCTAAAGTGATAGAAAAAACAGTGAGCCAGACAGATGATAGGATGTGAAAAGAAATCATTTTTACAAGTTTTCATATGCTTGTCAGCAAACTTTCTTATTACATATATACAAGGTACATATTTCTCGTTTTTTTACTAAATCATCGAATGCATTTTTCCGCACATAATATAATAACGAAATTCTAATGAAATATATTTTGATTAGAGTTGAACCGACTGAAGATTGTTAATTAACTTCGTTGAAAGTTCATATCCATGACAAAGTTTAAAAACCAAAAAAAAAAACAAATGGCGGATTTTACATTATTTTTCAAGTTACACGAAATTCACTATCTCAACCTCAACCACTCTCTATGTTTGTAATGCTGCGTGTAACCATTTCATCTTTATTACTTACTTTTACTTGTATGCCTACACCTGTGTACTCTAATGCGCATGCTATGCTATTCCTTTTTCACTATGATTAAGTGCAGTATTCTTCTTCTTCTTCTTTTTATTTCTCCGATATTTTCATTTTGCTCATCATCAGACGCCTGCACTCATTTTCTCAATTCTTACTACTACTACTTGGTAAACAGAAGAAGAATCGTTATTTTTGTCTGGGTTAATAGAAAATATACACATAATACAGGCCGCGTAGTTAGGAATACTTTCTAACGGAACAGCCATTACTACTTAATATCTTTATTCTTTGGTATTTGTATTTATTTTTTTGCTGCTTGAATAACTAGTATTGAAGAGAAAGAGAGAGAGAGAGAGAGAAAAAAAAAAAGATAGAGACTTGAGGAGTAAAGAAGAAATATCGAAAAGAGAAACTATTTAATTAAAATGAAAAAGCGTTTTTATATAATAAAAGTTCATCTAAAATTAGCAATGCTTCAAAATTTCTTAATGGAATAGATTTGAAAACTAAGTTTTGTGAAGAGACCTACAATGTAACTAAAGTTCACATAAAGAATTCAAATGCATAAAAACAATTGTAAGGGTCATATCGTGTAAAAATGAACGAACGTATGCATGTGTACATTCATTTATTTCTGTTTAACACACCTGAAAATTTAAAGGTGTTCCCTACAACGCCGGTGTTGATCTCGCTACTACAAGAACTAAGGCACGCATTTCTCTGCTACAAAGCTACAGATGTACAATATTTTTGCTTTATGATTCAGATGTTGTCACGATCATATAACGAAACGTACAAACATAGAATCATATATATAAATTCGATATATATGTATATATATATATGCATGAATATCCGCTTTTTTTTATTTAACGTAGCCGGCTTTTGCATATGTGAAGACTCTTCTAGCATTCTCTCCGTGAAAGTTGCGCGCAACGCTCTCTTTGTATCTTATCAATTTTTTTTCTTTTCGTAACTCTCAATTGCGGTTACTCTTTTTCGCCTTCGATAAAGAGAGGTAGAGAGAAAATATAGG